CTACAGCTCCCACACCCAGACTTTAGAGAGAAACAGACTGACCTTGGTAACAAGCCCCGCCACTGTAAACCTTTGGAATCCTGTGCATTTGTGCGTATGCTGCTGCTTTGGCAGGGTCCCTGGACGCCACGGCATGCACCACGACATCGGGATGGCTCCGGGCCGGGGTGATCAGGGCGTTAGGACCGATGCGCGCCGCACCAAGGATGCCGAAACGCAGAGCCTGACGAGATTTAGCCGGGGTGCTGGGCGGACTACCAAGCTGTGTGCCAAGGGCTCAGCACCGATTATGCAGCGGGCTCGCCATCCTGGACTCACATTTCGCAAGCGTCGCAACAAGCCCAACATGGCCAACATCCTATGGCTGCAAGTGAGATCTAAGGAGAGTTGACGCGGCGCTGGTGCGATGGGTTGCACGCAGTGCATTACTCACGCCACACTCGAGGCGCTACAGTCTACAGACATGGACGGTTCAACAAACAAACTTGGACCACGCTGGAGTAACACCGCGTCGCATGGAGCTTACGAGATTGAAGGCTCCTGCGCAGTCGATAGAAGCCGTGAGGGAGCGAAAACAAATAAGAGAACTTACAGAAGCCTATTTAATCCAAGCCGAACAGGACAAGTCCGTATACGTCGTGTCTATCATGGAAGGATGTGACCTTGTCTTTCGATGGGCCTGGGAATCGTGAGGCGCTTTACTCCTTTACTCACGCCGTGTTCAAGGCCAGACGAGTAAGGTTCATCAAGATCACTGTGGAATCCATTTAGGCTTATGTCATAGCATACCTGAAGAGAAGTAGCGTAGAATTAGCACTCATAGATATCGATCTGTCCTTAGGCTGCAAAGGAGACGGAGATCATATGTGCTGTCCAACGGCGATATTATAACAATCACACTTCTTGGTAATTACCAGCTTACGTAGGTGAAATTCTCGCACGCCACGAGCTCAATCTTGTATAGGTGACTTGGATGAAGAGGCGCTATGGGGTACACGGTATGTGATAGGATTTCAAAGACGAAGCGTGCATCGCAGTGGCCTAGTGAGTAGAACGTGTCTGATCCATGGCCATAGTGCGGCATGGTCCAGCCTTTCTCGGCATTCTCCAACTCCGACGGAACGCCCAGTGAAAAGTGTGCAGAACATCAACAGTTTGATAGTCACGATTTGCTTGAAGCAGACCTCTAGAACGACCGTCCGTATTGCACTCCAAAGGTCGTTTCTAAGGGCTTCCTAAGGTGAGACTAGCTGCGGGCGCCGATCGAAATGACTGATCAATGCAGGACCAGGTCCAAGGACGCGGAAAAAAATATATTTATATTTTACAAAATCCTGTTGCCGGCGCGAAGACAGCAACGGACATGAAATTGAGGTTTTGTTTGTACTCACCATCCAGTCCATTATTTTTGTTCTACTCATCGATATGAAATACATGATAGAGCTTGAATAAGCCGTCTGAAGAGACATCTAAGGCACTAAAAATGGAAAACGCTAAGGAGACGTGAGCCTGGGGACAATGGGTTCGAGACCGCCATGGATGTACGTACAATATGTTTGAAGGTGAGCCATCCATCATTGTCGTAGTCAGTAGTTGGACTACTTCAATCGTCCCCACGCTAAGCATCCTTTGTCTCCACACGAGCATGGTCTTTACGTGATGTGTG